TTGTTGTGACATGGTTGATCGAAGGTAATTTTTTATCATTTTCAACTTTGAAAAGCTTCTTTCCTCCGATGCAACTGTAACCGAAATAGTCAAAAGTATCCTATAAGTAACCCTTGAATTTGGGAAATAATTAGCCAATCAACTGCAGATGATTGAGCACTTCAATTGGTTTATTGACTTCTTTTGGCAATTACTCGTAAATAACTTATCAATAGCTCCTCTTTGACGCTCGATCAATTTTTCGACTCTTTGCTTCTTTTTCCTTTTTGCGAATTTAGATGGATAATTTCTTTTAAAAGTCATGATGAACTAAGATTAAAATACTTTTTTAGATCAAAATTCAAAACAAGAGCATCACTATCACTTAACAAAATATTTTTTTTAAAATGATGTGACGTTACAGAGAAGGCCCTATGAGTGAGTGACATGGAATAATTGTCTACAAGGCAACTAAATAATCTGCTATAGCTGTTTTAATTTTTTGGGTGAACAAAAAAAAAAAAAAAAAAAAAAAAAACTAAATGCCAACCAAACCATCCACCATAATTTCATAACTAACCAATACCTCCAAATTTAAAGTAACAGTACGTAGTCAAAATAACTTAAATAATGTATGGTTACAAACCATGCCAAATTATCCCAATACTAAAGTCATAATAATAATAATAATAATAAATACATAAACTAATATCAACCCTAAGCTCAAGAAAACAAAAGAAATCCAAGAAAATTCTTAAACAAATTATTAAACTATATCAGACAAACTATTAAATTTAAACAAATTCTTCTTGATGATGTAAATACCAATATTATAATAACAATTAAGCAAAAGACAAGACAAATATTTCATTAATTGAATAGAAAAAAAAAAAACCTACATGTGCTTGCTGTGTTGCTGCTAATTCATGTGCTCTGTTTTGTTTTGTGTGCTGCTATTCCGCTATGCTCTTTGTTAGGCTGTTGCTGTCAAGTTGTTGGAAAAACTGGATTAAGAGTAATTAGGGTTAGGAATTAGAACGGGAGAGAGAATGGGCCCTCTTAATTTTGAATGGGCCTTTTAATTTTTTTAATAGATCAATTTATTTTAAGTTAGTTTGGGTCTTCTTTAATTTTTTTTTGACTTAAAACATATCTTAATATATTACACTAAACTATAATAGGAGGGGCCCATTTTTTAGAGTCTATTTTGAGGGGCTTTAGGCCATGGCCAGGTGGGTTTATGCCTAGGGCTGGCGCTGATTGAGAGAGATGGTGGTGTGTAAATAAAACCACTCATTTGAAATAGTTAATTTTCTTTTAAATAGACCATTTTGTCCTTAAAATATATCTAATTTCTAACTAATATTGTAAATTTGACTAAATTGACATAATGCGATTTTTTTTTTTAGAAAGCGGCATAATGTGAAAAATTGAAAGACAAAATTGATACAATTTAAATTACATTTACCAAATTGAAACAAATTATATTGATATAATTTACCCTTAAAAAAAATCCCACAAATGGATTTTTATACAAAAAAAATTAAAAAGAAAAATTCCATAATGACCTTTCAATATCGTTTTAAAAATTAAACTGTTGTATTTTTGGTATGCATCTCTCCACTGCTTTGCTCTGTTTTAAGAGACTTTTATTTGAGCCACATAATTATAAATGGGTTTTAAAAAAATGGCAGCCCAGCCTTATAAGTATATAATCATTGGCGGACGCAGATGGACTTATTGGGCCATGAGGCCCATAAAAACACTTTCCTTCCCCTGGGCTTCTTGAGGTTGGGACTAATATCACAATCCGCAGATGATTCGTATGATTCTGCACGAATCAATCACTCGTTTATCATATAGAGTCTACCGGGCAAATTATTTATATAAAAAATTAAATTTATTAAATATCAGTAGTCACATTATTAGGCCACATTAGTTTAAAAAATGGACATCAAATATAAATTTAAGAAAGTCATTCATTTTTTAAAAAATAACAACCACCCTTGAAAGAGAAGTAGCTTATGCATCAAACACTTTTGCGTTAAAGATGAACAAGGCTAAGCGAACAACTTGTTCTTCATGAATACTCGATTCAACGTCAAAGAGTTTCATGCCACTATCATATAGTATTTGTCTCCACTTGGTAATAAACAACAACCACCCTTGAAAGAGTAGCTTATGCATCAAACACTTTTGCGTTAAAGATGAACAAGGCTAAGCGAACAACTTGTTCTTCATGAATACTCGATTCAACGTCAAAGAGTTTCATGCCACTATCATATAGTATTTGTCTCCACTTGGTAATAAATAAAGCTTCCAAAGCCATTTTAATTTCTCAAAATTTTCATAAAATAAGTTTTCATCAACTTAAATTTTTACAATAATTTTTTTCATAAATCTTATATATTTGTATAGTTCAAATCCATTTGGAAGACACAACAGCCCTGTTTGGTAGAGTTGTGGAAAAATGCTTATAGCTTATGCCTAAACAGCTTATAACTTATAAACATACGCTAAATTCTGACTTATAAATTAAGCATCTCCTGCCCCACTCAAAGAATAAGCTGATTTTTGACTTCCAAAAAGTTATAAGTTATAAGCTAAACCAAACACATCAAAATAACTTAAATTAAACTGAAAGCTGAAATAAACAGATTTTAAGCTGCACCAAACAAGCACAACATTGCATACAACATTGCATGATAAGAACCCCACCTCCCATTCCAGAGGTGAACTCCAAACGTCCAAATTCATTGAAGAAAAAAAGTTTTTAACTTTACGACCAACCCAAAATACAAATGGTCACAATCTACAGGATCTAAATTATTAGTTAGGTATGAACCACAAATTGAATGTGACGTTGCTTCCATGCACCCCCTTTAATATGTGGCATGTATTAATCTACCACCAAAAAAAAAAAAAGAAAAAAAAAAAAAAAGAAATTATGTGACTCCTATTTTTTCCCTTCCATTCATGGTTGTGTGGTGATGTATGAGGCGGTGTTTGGAAAAGATTTTTTTGTGGTTTTTTTTGTTCTTTTTCACTAGAAGACAAAGTAGTTACAAAACAAAAAAAAAATAAATTCAAACAAAATATCACATCAAATCCCATAATCATTTTACTTTTTTCTCTCACAAATATCGCATCTAACCACAAAAAAACCTAATTATCTTTCCAAACACAAAAAAAAATTTTCTCCAATAATATCCTACAATTAAAAAAACGTACAAAAAAACTCGCTTCCCAATCACCCACTATGCCAACTAGCTTTTGCATATATTAATTAAAGGAAAAAAGTTATATAAATTATTAAAATTAATAATTTTTTTATTAATATGTTATAGAATTAAGAAATTTTATAAATTTGAAATTATATTTATTTTAATAATATGATAAGTGTCACGTCAATAAATAATAAATAAAAAAATTAGCTATAAGTTAGTGGAAAAAATGCAATTAATTGCATTGGACAAGCATTTCTCAATTGCATTAGGACAATTTTCACTAATTTGCAAATAGTTTTTCTATTTCACATTTTTATAATATTTCCCCAAAATAATATATATATATATATATTAGTTTTCATATTCTTTTGTTTTTAGTGAATATTTTTTAAATTTTAAACATTTTTTTTTTTACTTTTTTAGATGCACCTTAGTTAGATGTATATAAAAAGTAAAAAATTTGTGAAAAAATATTTTAAAAAATTAATAAATACATAGAAATACAAAAAATATACTAAATTCTTGTATTTTTTTGTATTTTTGGTATTTAATGAATTTTTAAAATATTTTTTTTTACAATTTTTTTACTTTTTAGGTGTATTTATGTTAGGTGTGTCTAAAAAGTAAAAAAAATTGCTTATAATATTAAAAAAATTCAGTAAAAATAAAAAAATACAGAAAATAAGAAAGTAAAAAAATAAAATTTTCTAAAAAATATTTTCCGAAAAATGAAAATAAGCAAGCTGATTATCTTCCAAATTGGAGGGAGATGTTGTTGAGATGTTGATGAAAAATGCTTGGATATTCTTTTTGGTCTCCATATGCATAAGAAAATTACAAAACAAAGATATTTTCTTTCCCGTAAATTTATTCATTTATATATTATTATTATTATTTTGTCCTAATAACAAAAAGCAAAAAAAGAAAGAAAAGTTGATATGACATAGCATGGCTAAAGGTCCAATTTAAGCACCACTTCAAAAAGAAGAAGAAAAACCAATCACAATCCATTCTCTATTCCTATTCAAATGGTTGTAAATTGTAATATATATATATATATATTTTATGAGCTAGATGCACAAGGTGAACAATATTGTTTCATTCATAAATTTTTTTTGTTACATTATTGATTAAAAACACGAAATATACTAATTCTTTGAAATTATTGAATAATTTACTCATTAATATTGGAGAAATTTTTCATAACGTCATTAACCGGGAGTACCTTGTGTTGATAAACTAAGTTACATTTCAAACATCTATCTTACTAATGAATATATTATATATCAATTCTATTATATTATTGAAGTATATAACTCACTTGACGAAATTATCTCACACTACTTTTCATATCCAAATTATATAATTACCCCTATATAATCGTCCAAAGTTTGTTATGCAAATTTTAAGTTTTCAATTATTTTCTCTTCCATTCTACATTATTATTATTATTATTATTATTTGTAAAATGAGGATTACAACTGCCTTTCATTTCTACACCAACTATCACGTGTGTAGACAACTAGTGTATGTATATATATATATATATATATATTAGTTGGATTTGGCTTCTTTTCAATTCAAATCATAGATTGGGGTTTATAAAATTTATTATAGATTCTATTTTGATGATAAAAATAATTTATTTTGTTAAGCTCTTCTTATATGTTATTCATAAAAAAATTTAGATTGATTCGATAATTTTAACTTATTCAATTTATGAATTTTCTTAAAAAATAAACAATAAATATATTTTTAAGAATAAACTATTTATTATTTTTGATAACTTGAATGTATTACGAATATCAAATCAATATAAATTTTTTTATAAATAATATACACAAAAAGATACGACAATATAAACCGTTTGAATTATTGACTTGTGGATCCCAACAATGCCCACCGGAAGAGATCCCTTTATATATATATATATATAGATATATATTAATTTGTCTTAGTTTGGGTGCTTAATTTCCTTGTGAGTGAGGAACATTTCTCTCTGATCGACTGAGTCAATTTGAGCCGCACGATCAACTGGTCTGTAGTATCCGGTGAGTGGGTCTGGGGCCCATGAAGTAGTGGTGGACCCAAACACTTGACTGTGACTGTGAGGGATCACCACATCCTTCTCTTCGACCGTCTCCACCACTCGATCAATAGATCTTCCCTCATCACCACCACTCGCCGCTGCCTGTTCTCCTCCCCGTGACGGTGACAGTGACGCTGCCGCATAACCTTTAGCTCGCCTGATATAATTACAATTTGAATTGAATAAAAGCATTAACAAGTCTATGCCGGCCATAGTGCACACCACTCACTTTTTCCATCATTTGTTGCATTTTTTTTTTTTAATGAAAAATAATTAATGAGAAATCAAGTAAAAATTAGTAGATGCTATTAATGTTTTGGACCATTTTTCCTGTATTTAAACCATAAATTTAAATAAAAATTAAAAAAAGGAAAATAACAAAAAATATATATATATATATATATACTTTATTTATATTATGCTTACTTATTATTTTTCTTTTTAAATCTCTATTTAAATAAATTCATATTTAATAAATGACTTTTCTTCCATCAATTTGAACTGGAGAGAACAATTCGACCAAACAGATTACATTTTTTTTATAGGTAAATTGTACTCACCTCCACTAAAATTTTAGCAAAGATACAATAAATTACATAATTTTGACATAATTATATTAGTCTTATATTTAGTAAGGTTAAATAGATCGAAATCAATGCAAATAGTGCAAGAATACAAAAATAAATAGTGTAAAATATACATTTTTATATAATTTTTTTTTTAAAGAACTTTGATAATAAAATTTTATAAAATAAATGATATATAATATTTTTATAGTAGTTAAGATCCCTCAATATTTTTACAGAAAAAATTTGACTCAGAAAAATTTTGGCTTCGGCACAAAGAAATTTCAATTTTCAAAGAGAAATTTCTGATATGATCATAGAGAAATTTTGAAAATTTTCTAATATGATCATAAAAAAATTTCATCGAGACCTTAGCTAATAAAAAAAATATCTTATACCTACTATACAAGATTAAGGAAAATGTCTCGTAGCTCAAATTTTGTGGCTCAAAAGTGACTCAAATGGCCAAAACGACGTCGTTTTGGCCATTTTTATGTTGTTCTGTACTCAAAACGACGTCGTTTTGGCCATTTGAGCCACTTTTGAGCTACAAAATTTGAGCTACGTAGCATTGTCGCAAAATTAAAGAGGGATATTTTATTAGAATAATGTTTTTGTGCCCGAATCCCCCCCCGAATGCCCCGAGAGAGAGAGAGAGAGAGAGACGGAGAAAGAGAGAAGAGAGCAAGGAAGAGGAGGAAGAGAGGGGAAGAAGCTCGTCGGCCGGCGTCGCCTCGCAGCAGCTCAAAGCTCGTCGCCCGGCGTCGCATCGCGTCGCCTCGCAGCAGCTCCGCCTCCGCCTTCCTTCCCTAGTTTGTTGGCCCCCTCCCCTCCCCATCCTCTTCTCTTCCTCTCCTTCCCCTCTCCCTCCCTTTCTCTTCTTCTCTTCTCTTTTTCCTCCTCCTCCCGTTTCTCTTCTTCTTGTTTCTCTTCTTCTGAAATGAAAGAAAAAAAAAAAAAAATTCCAAAAACACGACGTCAACGAACGTTTCGTCGATTTGGGGATTCGGGAGAAGGACTTTCGAGCACTCAATCAAAACTCATTTTATTATTATTATTTTTCGTTCTCTTTTCATCCTTATAACTAACCTATTACTATTAAAAAAATAATAATAATACTGATGTGATGCATCCAGTGCTCACACTGGAGGTTCAGTTCGGACTAACTTGGCCCATTTTCTAAGATATTAATATAAAAAACAAAAAAATTAATTATGAGTTGAGCATTATGAAATTAAAGTACCAAATAATTTTTCAAGATCAAAATTTTATTTTATTTATTTTTATTTTTAGAAAGAGAGATCAAGAGTTGAGAGGATAATAATTTTTATTTTTATTTTTATTTTTATTTACAAGTAGTATTACACATAATTTTTATCCTAATTATATATATACAGAAAATTCATTAAATTTTCTATATAAAATGATGTGACAGTCTTCGATCTTAAAATATTCATTTCATCAATATGTGATTCATACTTTCAAAAAAATTCTAATGTATAAATATTCTATTTATCATCCAGTAAAAGGTCAGAGAATAATGCCATACATTATCACTTTTTTTACTAAATTTTTACACTATATTTACATTTAACAAATGGTAGAAAAATTGTGTTCATAATAAAAGCAGTACTGAAAAAAGATTTAAAAAATGAAATATGTTCTAGTAGATCATAGGAATTATGATGTGTATGTGTTTAAATATGCAAAATTAAATCACATATTATATATACAGCTATACTCACAGGTTGATAGAGAGAGATATGCCATTTGCAACTGAAGGAGTAAGAAACTTAACACTTGATGAGAGATGGCGAGCCATTAGATTTTAATGGGTTTTGATTTATATATATGGATATATATATATATATATATACACACAAAGAAGACTAGAAGAGGAAGAAACAGAGGGGTGTGGGGATGATCCTGGAAATTTTCCTGGAAAGTGCAAAGAAAGAGAGAGCTTTTAAAATGGAGACTTTGAGAGAGAGAGAGAGAAAGAGAAGACTTTTGTTTTGCTTGGAAGTATCTAGGAATGGTCCACTAGAATTCTGATAATAATCTTCAAGATATTTATCACTCATATTTTAAATTTCTCACCCTATAATTTATCTTTAATTTAGGGGTAACATGTATCAAGGAAATTTATTATAAATGTAAATTTTATTATACATTATATTTTTATGTATTTTGATGTTCAAGAATTTTGTGCGTATATTTTTATTGTTAATTTAATCTCTTATAATTTTAAACTTTAATTATTAAATAAAAACGGTCATTCAAGTTTGTAATTTAAAAAAATATCAAAATTTTGGATTTTACTCCTTTAATATTACATTTTTTAAGGTAAATTACATTGGTCATCTTTGAAGTTTAGTAAAGATATAATAAGCCTACAGGTTTGCCGTTGATTTCTCTTTTATAGCAATTAAAATTAATACAAATAGTATATAGATAGATAAATAAATAAAATAAAATATACATTTTAATATAAAAATAATAATATTAATTTTTAATTCATATAATTAATGAATTATTAATAAAAATGAGACAAAAATGTTATGTAAATAATTTTTTTTTAAAAAAAATCAATATAATTATATTAAATTTGTAAAATTTGATTTTTTTTTAATTTTAAAAAAGATTAATGTAATATATTTATTTTAAAATTTTTATAGGGAAATAAAGTATTTGAATGTGACCAACACTTGCCAAGGTTTAATAGGCAAAATTGTAAAATCACCCACCCACCCAAGTTGATCATCAAATTTTTTGTTAATGCACTAGACACTGTCACATGCATAAGACGGGGTCAGGTCCCTTCATAGCTCATTTATCTATATATTTTTTTACATTCTTTTTATGAATTACAATTCATATTTATATTAATAATTTGAATCGTCTATCTTGTAAGTCTCGTAATAAAAGTCATTCATATAAAAAATCAATTTCATCGGACAATTGTAAATATGAAAATAAATCGTATTTTATTTTATAAATTCGATGGTTTAAATTTAATTATAATTACCATTTATTTTATAAAACAAAATACGTTTTGTTTTTGTGTTTATAATTATCTGATTAAATTATTTTTTTCCGTGAATGACCTTTATTGTAGAGCCTACGAGATAGATGGTTTGGATCATCAATATAGAGAAATTAGTAGATGCTATTAATGTTTTGGACTATTTTTTCTCTATTTAAATCATAAATTTAAATTAAAAAAATAGCAAAAAAAAAAATTTATACTTTACTTATATTGTGCTTACCTATTATTTTTCTTTTTAAATCTCTACTTAAATAAATTCATATTAAATAAATGACTTTTCTTCCATCAATTTGAATTGGACAGAACAATTCAACCAAACAGGTTACATTTTTTTTAGATAAATTATACTCACCTCCTCTTAAATTTTAGAAAAGATACAATAAATTACATAATTTTGATATAATTATATTAGTCTTCCATTTAGTAAAGTTAAATAGATCGAAATCAATGCAAATAATGCAAAAATAGAAAAATAAATAACGTGAAATATACATTTTTTTATAGGTTAGAATCGTCTATCTTGTAAGTCTCATAATAAAAGTCATTCATATAAAAAATCAATTTCATCGGACAATTGTAAATATGAAAATAAATCGTATTTTATTTTATAAATTCGATGGTTTAAATTTAATTATAATTACCATTTATTTTATAAAACAAAATACGTTTTGTTTTTGTGTTTATAATTATCTGATTAAATTATTTTTTTCCGTGAATGACCTTTATTGTAGAGCCTACGAGATAGATGGTTTGGATCATCAATATAGAGAAATTAGTAGATGCTATTAATGTTTTGGACTATTTTTTCTCTATTTAAATCACAAATTTAAATTAAAAAATAACCAAAAAAAAAATTTATACTTTACTTATATTGTGCTTACCTATTATTTTTCTTTTTAAATCTCTACTTAAATAAATTCATATTAAATAAATGAATTTTCTTCCATCAATTTGAATTGGACAGAACAATTCAACCAAACAGATTACATTTTTTTTAGATAAATTATACTCACCTCCTCTTAAATTTTAGAAAAGATACAATAAATTACATAATTTTGACATAATTATATTAGTCTTCTATTTAGTAAAGTTAAATAGATCGAAATCAATGCAAATAATGCAAAAATAGAAAAATAAATAACGTGAAATATACATTTTTTTTATAGGTTATTTATTTATTTTTATGATTTATGATATTAAGATTTTATAAAATAAATGACATACAATATTTTCATAGTAGTTAAGGTTCCTCAACATTTTCACAAAGAAATTTCGGCCTTGATACAGAGAAATTTCAATTTTCACAAAGAAATTTCTGATATGATTACATAGAAATTTAGAAATTTTTCCGATATGATCACAGAGAAATTTCAAAATTTCTACAATATGATCATAGAGAAATTTCATTAAGGGATTTTAGTTAATAAAAAAAATCCTATACCTACTACACAAAGTTAAAGAGAAATGTTTCACTAATTTTTATTATTTTTTCATCTATATAACTAACCTATTACTATTAAAAAAAAAAAAAAAAATACTGACGTCATGCATCCAGTGTTCACACTGGAGGTTCAGTTCGGAACTTGGCCCATCTTCTAAAATATTAATATAAAAAAAAAACTAATTATGAGTTGAACATTATGAAATTAAAGTACCAAATAATTTTTCAAGATCAAAATTTTAATTTATTTATTTTTATTTTTAGAAAGAGAGATCAAGAGTTGAGAAATGTTGTTATTGTGTTAGCTCGTAGGCATAAAATCACCTAAAAAGCCCAAAAATAAATTTAGATTACATATAAAATATAAATATTTCTTTACAAGTAGTATTACACATAATTTTTATCCTAATTATACATATACAGAAAATTCATAAAATTTTCTATATAAAATGATGTGACAGTCTTGGATCTTAAAATATTCATTTCATCAAATATGTGATTCATATTTTCAAAAAAATTCTCATGTATAAATTTTCTATTTATGATCAAGTAAAAAATCACAGAATAATGCCATACATTATCACTTTTTTAACTAAATTTTTACACTATATTTGTATTTAATTAATGGTAGAAAATTTGTGTGCATAATAAAAGCAGTACTGAAAAAAGATTTTAAAAATGAAATATGTTCTAGTAGATCATAGGAATAATGATATGTATGTGTTTAAATATGCAAAATTAAATCACATATATATAGCTATACTCACATGTTGATAGAGAGAGAAATGCCATTTGCAACTGAAGGAGTAAGAAACTTAACACTTGATGAAAGATAGCGGGCCATTAGATTTTAATGGGTTTTGATTTGGTTAAAACCTACCACTACCGCCTACTCCACCTACTACACACCTACCTATCTACTACCACCTACTCCACCTACTACACACCTACCTACTCTACTCTTCTATATATAGGACTCATTGTAAACATAATCAAACAATCAATAATACATCAATAGGTACATTATTCTCTGTATTTCTCTCTTTATACACTGAATTTAATATGGTGTCAGAGCGAGGTTGAGAACCTAGTAATTCCGCTTCACCAGCGGGCAGCAGCCTCACCTTGGCCGCCCGCCGGACCTCTACACATACATTCACTCCGCTGCCACAAATTATTTGATCTTCTTCTTGTTGCTGCTGCTAACAAATTCCATGGCAGAACTTCACCTTCAAGATCAGAGCATCATCATCCATCTTGAACAACCCCGGGTCGGACCTCCGATCTCACCCAAGTCCCGTCTCTTTACCTCTCAAAAACACTAACCCAAATCTTCGGTTTCACTCCAATCAGTCTCTTTCATATCAGCAATTGCAAGTTGCCCAATTTCAGCAGCTGAAACAGCAACAGATGATGAAGCAACAGAACTCGGCAATTTGGGGACAACATAACCAGACGACCCACCAAGTGGTTCAGAATAGAGCAAGAAATGATGGTCGTCCTCTGACCCTCTCACAATCTTTTTGGCTCTCTGTGAATTTGAGTTTAGTTTTGAGTGAGTGATTGATTTGGGTTTTCATGGCGGAGGACTTAGACGATGGTGAGTTTTGGCTTCCTCCACAGTTTCTCACCGACGACATGCTCATGGACTTCAAAGCGAACACCATGAAAACCAAACACAGAGAGGTCGATTTTGGGTTTTGTTTTCCCAACGAGTTTCCGTATGGGTTTGGCTCGGATTTGAGTTCTCCGGTGGAGTCCGTGGTGAGCTCTACCGAGACTGAAAGCGACGAGGAAGACTACATAGCTGGGTTGACTCGGAAAATGGCTCGCTCAACTCTCCACGACGATTTGTGGAAAACAGACTCTGTGTTCTCCTATGAGACCCACAAGTCTTGGGCTATGGCTGGCTCGCCTCAATCGACTCTCTGCATGGGTGGTGGTGGTGGTGGTAGCGAACAGGGTTCGAGCCGGGGAAGCCCGAACGGTCCTTCGCAGGTTTCATCGCCGCCGCCGCCGCCGCCGGCGTTACACCGCAACGACGCTGCTTTGGATCTGCTTTACGCGGCCGCAAGGGAGGTCGCGAGGATGAGGATTATTGAAGAGGGTTCTAGGTATAACCAGAAGACCAGTGGACTATTGGGTCCACCTCGAAACCCAAGTCCCGTCTCTTTACCTCTCAAAAACCCTAACCCAAATCTTCGGTTTCACTCCAATCAGTCTCTTTCATATCAGCAATTGCAAGTTGCCCAATTTCAGCAGCTGAAACAGCAACAGATGATGAAGCAACAGAACTCGGCAATTTGGGGACAACATAACCAGACGACCCACCAAGTGGTTCAGAATAGAGCAAGAAATGATGGTCGTCCTCTGACCCTCTCACAATCTTTTTGGCTCTCTGTGAATTTGAGTTTAGTTTTGAGTGAGTGATTGATTTGGGTTTTCATGGCGGAGGACTTAGACGATGGTGAGTTTTGGCTTCCTCCACAGTTTCTCACCGACGACATGCTCATGGACTTCAAAGCGAACACCATGAAAACCAAACACAGAGAGGTCGATTTTGGGTTTTGTTTTCCCAACGAGTTTCCGTATGGGTTTGGCTCGGATTTGAGTTCTCCGGTGGAGTCCGTGGTGAGCTCTACCGAGACTGAAAGCGACGAGGAAGACTACATAGCTGGGTTGACTCGGAAAATGGCTCGCTCAACTCTCCACGATGATTTGTGGAAAACAGACTCTGTGTTCTCCTATGAGACCCACAAGTCTTGGGCTATGGCTGGCTCGCCTCAATCGACTCTCTGCATGGGTGGTGGTGGTGGTGGTAGCGAACAGGGTTCGAGCCGGGGAAGCCCGAACGGTCCTTCGCAGGTTTCATCGCCGCCGCCGCCGCCGCCGGCGTTACACCGCAACGACGCTGCTTTGGATCTGCTTTACGCGGCCGCAAGGGAGGTCGCGAGGATGAGGATTATTGAAGAGGGTTCTAGGTATAACCAGAAGACCAGTGGACTATTGGGTCCACCTCGAATCCCAAGTCTCCATTTACAATCTCTCTCTCCTATCATTCACAGATAAACACATTGGGTTCGTTTAGTTTGAATTTCGGAAAAAATTTTAGGAAATTTTCTCTACAAATAAGTTTTTAAAAGTAATGAAACCAAACAAATTTTTCCAAAAAAATTTCTCAAAACTTGTAAACCTTTACAAGTTTTCCAAACAAATCTCTCTCTCATACACATCAAATCAATCACTTTTTCTAAAACTCTCTCTCAAAATAATTTTTCAAAACATCTTTTGAAAAAAACCAAACCAAACAACTTTTCGTACTTTTTATCTCTAAAACACATCTCTCAAACACAAACCAAACATATCCATTGTTTTTATTATCACTTCCTCTCACTCTCATAAAATAATACTCCACCTCTCATGGACCCGACAGACCCCAGACTCATTATTATGCTCTCTACTCTTGCCTTCTCTCTCTCTCCACTTTATCACATGGGTTTGTCCCTCTCTCTCCTCCGTTTGATTTCAAAATCAATTATTTTTATTTATTTTCTCCAAACCACTTTTAATCTCTGTCAAATACCCACTCTATAATAATATATCTTTTGCAGGGCACTACCCCCAACTTTATTTTGAAACATCCATCATCCACCTCACACCGATCTTTTGTCAAATCACCCATCCAAAAATATTTTTTTTATCTATTTTTTATTTTTATTATTAAACAAAACCACAACACAAAATCACACAAAAAAAAAAAAACATTCCACAAACTTGTCATTTCTTCATGCCGGGGATCAACCCCGATCAGTATTTTACACCCAAAATTAAAAAAAAATAAAAAAATAAAAAACAAAACAAAACCAAGCAACCACATCCACAGGCGGGATTTTTCTTCTCTACTCTGCCGCCAGTCTCTTCTTCTTGCCTCCGTCCTGGACGGTCCTTGACGGTGTTGCCTCCATGTTTCTCACGCCGCCGAGCCTGTTCACTCCCCCTGCTCCTCCACTGCAGTATCTGGCGGACCTCCAAATCGGAACATAACGGTGGCCTTCCGCTTCAGCTCCTTATTTTCTGCTTTTAGCACACATATCTCTGCTCGCGCATCCTTATACATGCGTGTGGACTCGTTGAGGTCTGGAAAGAGAGTGAGCAGACCACGGGAAGAAGAGGCCATTTTCTGGGCCACAAAGTGTTACAGAGTATCTCTCTTAGAAAACGAAGAGTTTTTCAGAGGTTTTTAGCAGGTTTTTGTCTCAGCCTCTGCCTTAGCTTCAGCCTCCGTCTTGGTTAAATAGCCAAGGCAGACACGCGCATCGTGCGCCGCTCGGCGCTAGACGACAACATGGGCGCGCAAGCCAAGGTAGTCACGCGCATTGCCATAATGTCCGGCACACCTTTTTATGGATTGGGCAAGCCTTTTGATGGCACGCCTTTTGAAAGATTGGGCACACCTTTTGAGGGTGCAACTTTTTAGAGGTCCGACAAGACCCCATAAACTGTCCCGATATTGATTCCGGTTAGCTTTTCCAACGGTCCGACATGACCCCATAAACTGTCCCGACATTGATTCCGGTTAGTTTTTACAACGGTCCGGCATGACCCCCTAAACTGTCCCAACCTTGATTCCGGTTAGCTTTTACAACGGTCCGATATGACCCCATAAACTGTCCCGACATTGATTCCGGTTAGCTTTTCCAACGGTCCGGCATGACCCCATAAACTGTCCCGACATTGTAGTTATCAGTCATTATCAGTTTCGTTTAACAGTAATCGGTGATTAACGGTAATCAATCGGTCATAAATCAGTAAACAGTACGAGGGTTGTTACACCCCCTAAACTGTCCCAACCTTGATTCCGGTTAGCTTTTACAGCTGTCCGACATGACCCCATAAACTGTCCCGACATTGATTCCGGTTAGCTTTTCCAACGGTCCGGCATGACCCCATAAACTGTCCCGACATTGATTCCGGTTAGCTTCTATAACGGTCTGACACAACCATACCGTGTCTTCACCAACGGCCTGACATGACCATACAGTGTCTCCTATCCTCTTTTTATTTTATGTATTAGTCTATTTTCTTATTTTGTTACTCTTTCCAAACTCAAGTTGATTTGTGTCTCTCCTCCTTGAGTTTGCGGGGGGCTGTTAAAACCTACCACTACCACCTACTACACACCTACCTACCTACTACCACCTACTCCACCTACTACACACCTATCTACTCTACTCTTCTATATATAGGACTCATTGTAAACATAATCAAACAATCAATAATGCATCAATAGATACATTATTCTCTGTATTTCTCTCTTTATACACTGAATTTAATAGATTTACATATATGGATATATATGTACACACAAAGAAGACTAGAAGAGGAAGAAGCAGGGAGGGGCTTGGGGATGATTCTGGAAATTTTCCTGGAAAGTGGTAAGAAAGGAAAGAGCTTTAAAATGGAGACTTTGAGAGAGAGAAAGAGAAGACTTTTGTTTTGTTGGAAAGTATCTAGGAATAGTCCACTAGAATTCTGTTAAAATTGATGTATTATTGATTATTTGATGTATTATTGGTTGTTTTGATTATGTTTACAATGAGTCCTATATATAGAAGAGTAGAGTAGGTAGGTGTGTAGTAGGTGGAGTAGGTGGTAGTAGGTAGGTAGGTGTGTAGTAGGTGGTAGTAGGTGGTAGTGGTAGGTTTTAACAGCCCCCCGCAAACTCAAGGAAGAGAGACACAAATCAACTTGAGTTTGGAAAGAGTAACAAAAGAAGAAAATAGACTAATACATAAAATAAAAGAGGATAGTAGACACTGTATGGTCGTGTCAGATAATGTCTGGACAGTTGACGAGGTCACACCGGACCGTTGGAGAAGCTAACCGGAATCAATGTCGGGACAGTTTATGGGGTCATGCCGGACCGTTGTAGAAGCTAACCGGAATCAATGTCGGGACAGTTTATGGGATCATGCCGGACCGTTGGAAAAGCTAACCGGAATCAATGTCGGGACAATTTATGGGGTCATGTCGGACCGCTAAAAAGTCGCACCCTCAAAAGGTGTGCCCAATCTTTCAAAAAGCGTGCCATCAAAAGGCGTGCCCAATCCATAAAAAGGTGTGTCGGACATTATGGCGAAGCGCGTGACTACCTTGGCTTGCGCGCCCATGTTGTCGTCTAACGCCGAGCGACACACGATGCGCGTGTCTGCCTTGGCTATTTAACCAAGACGAAGGCTGAGGCTGAGACAGAGGCTAAGACAAAAACTTGCTAAAAACCTCTGAAAAACTCTTCGTTTTCTGAGAGAGATACTCTGTAACACTCGGTTGCCCAGAAAATAGCCTCTTCTTCCCGTGGTCTGCTCACTCTCTTTCCAGATCTCAACGAGTCCACAAGAGAGATAACTGGTGCGGTTGCCCTTGAACCCCAACTAAGCGCCTCTGGTTTTGCTCCGTTGAACTTTCCTATGCGGTCTGTGGAGCAAAAAATGGAAGTGCAATCGGATATTGAGGCCAATCAGTATACATTGAAGTCATGTGTGGAGACCATGACTGCGGTCACAAACTTGTCGCACCGGCTTCAGAGCAGGACAAATGAGGTGCAACAGTTAAACTCCCAGCTGGCTCTGCTCCAACGCATGTATAAGGATGCGCGAGCAGAGATAAGTGTGCTAAAGACAGAAAACAAGGAGCTGAAGCGGAAGGCCACCGTGATGTTCCGATTTGGAGGTCCACCATATGCTGTAGTGGAGGAGCAGGGAGGAGGCAACTTGCTTGGTGGTCTAGGAAGCACGGAGGCAACACCGTCAAGGGTCGTCCAGGACGGAGGCAAGAAGAAAAGACCAACGGCTGAGTAGAGAAGAAAAATCCCACTGTGGGTGTGGTAGTTTTGTTTTTGTTTGTGTTGGTTTTTTTTTTTTTTTGATGTAAAAGTGTGATCGGGGTTGATCCCCTGATATGAATAAAATGACAAGGTTGTGGAATGTTGTTGGTGTTATTTTGTGGTGTTGTTTTGTTTAATAAGAAAAATAAAATAAAAGAAAATAATGGATAAAGAAAATAGAGAAAAATATTTGTGGATGAAATAAATTAAGAGAAAGGAGAGATATGATTAAAGTGGGTTTGAAAGTGGGTTTTTTTTTTTTAAATAATAATAATAATAATATATTAATGGCGAAAGCATGTGCTCGGTGGGTTGGAAAGTGAAAAAATGAGAGAGAGAAAGTGGGGTACATGATGATGATGAGGATGATAATAATAATAAAACGAATAAAAAAATTAGTTTTGTGTAATGTGGTGGCTTTATTCAAAAAGTGAAAACTTTATTCAAAAATTGAAAACTTTGTTACTTGTTTTGCCCTTTTTTTTTTTTGAATAATGCTTGGGACCCCTTTTGGGGGTCACCCCCTCACCCCTTTGTCATGTGGCGGGTGGTGATTGGAGGAGCAGGAAAAAAAAGAAAAAGAAAAAAAAAATGTAACCAATGAGAGAGAGAGGGGGTCAAAGGGGGTGGGGGGAAAAGGGGGGATGAATCATTGTTGTAAGAGAAATTAATGAAATATCTCTATCTAACTTTTAGCAGATCCTCCTCCTTTATCACCGCAGTGGTTTCCTTTGCTTTGCTTTTTACTTGTGGGGGTGGACCCACAACACCAGTGATCTCTTCATACAATTTGGACTGGACCCGAGGGTACTTTACCAAGTTGGCCATGATCCACTGCAAAGCCGTGGAGGTGGTATCGGTGCCTGCGTTGAGAAACTCCCCGCATAGTGTCACTATCTCCTTGTTGTTCAGCTTTCTCTTCTCCTCCGGCAGCTCTAGGAGTAGAGAGAAGAAGATACTTACACTTATATATATATACATAGATATAGATAAATATAGAAAGAGTGGTAGCCATGGATTCAACTCCACCAACCACCACCACCTCCAATGATGGCGTGGTCGTCGCTCACAAGGACGCGTCTTTGGTCGATCCCTCCTTGGTTGAGGCTCTCCAAAACACTCGTCATCGTCTCACCATTCTGCGGATGGAACTCGATATACTGAAGTTTCTGCAGAATCCTGATCAGCAGCAGTTTGAGTTCCAACATTTTACCACTTCCTACCTTCGTCTTGCAGCACACCGTGTTGCTCAACACTATTGTCTGCAGACTATGGTTCAGGACAATGTCTTAGATGGTCTGGGTACTAGAATTGTGGTTAAAAAATTGGCAGAAAGCAGATACCCTGCTGTCTGTTTATCAGAAATTCCTGCTAAACAGTTAGAAAATGACAAACATGAGCAGATTAAAATTGTCATGAGGCCAAGGCCTAACAGAAATTCCTCAAATGAAGCCAGTGAAACAGGAATCAAACGCAATACTGCGAGGACTGTGGAAGAGAGGAAGGAGGATTCTGAACGAGGGCACGGTGGGCGACGGAGTGGCTGCCGACGAAGATGGCGGGACGAGACCCAACCTGGAGGGTGACGATGGGGCCGTACTTAGCTCGGAGGTCTCGGAGGATGGGTTCGAGCTCCGAGAATGACTTCCGCATCCATAGGAAGTTTCCGATCACTGGAACAGTGGTGGGTCCTGGGGGAAGAGAGAGATTCTTGTTGGATAAAGAAGAAGAAGAAGGAGGAGGAAAGAGGGGAGTGAGAGCATGTGTAGAGGTCCGGCGAGCGGCCAAGGCGAGGCTGCCGCTCGCCGGTGAAGCAGAATTACTAGCTTCTTAACCTTGCTTTGATACCATGTTAAAATTGATGTATTATTGATTATTTGATGTATTATTGATTGTTTTGATTATGTTTACAATGAGTCCTATATATAGAAGAGTAGAGTAGGTAGGTGTGTAGTAGGTGGTAGTAGGTAGGTAGGTGTGTAGTAGGTGGAGTAGGTGGTAGTAGGTGGTAGTGGTAGGTTTTAACAAATTCTGACACGTAGTTGTGTGAATCAAACCATAATAATCTTCAAGGTATTTATCACTCATATTTTAAATTTCTCACCCTGCATAATTTATCTTTAATTTAAGAGTAACGTGTATCAAGGAAATTTATTGTAAATGTATATTTTATTATACATCATATTTTTATGTATTTTGATGTTCATGAATTTTGTGTGTATATTTTTATTGTTAATTTAATCTCTTACAAATTTAAACTTCAATTATTAAATAAAAACGGGCATTCAGGTTTGTAATTTCAAAAAATATCAGAATTTTGGACTTTATTCTTTCAAAATTTACATTTTTTAATGGTTGAAATTTAGAAAAGATATAACAAGATTACAGATTTGACGTTGATTTCTCTTTTATAGCGATTAAAATTAATACAAATAGTGTATAGACAGATGAATAAACAAAATAAAATATACATTTCAATATTAAAAATTCATATTAATTTTTAATTCATATAATTAATGAATTACTAATAAAAATGAGACAAAATATTATGTAAATAATTTTTTTTTAAAAAAAATCAATATAATTATATTAAATTTATAGAGCTCGAAATATTTTCAAAAAAAAATTAAAAGAGATTAATGTAATATATTTATTTTAAAATTTTTATAGGGAAATAAAGTATGTGAATGTGACCAACACTTGCCAAGTTTTAATAGGCAAAATTGTAAAATCACCCACTCCACCCAAGTTCATCATCAATTTTTTTTGTTAATGCACGAGACACTTCCACATGCATAAGATGAGATCAGGTCTCTCCATACCTCATCTATCTATATATTTTTTTTTAAATTCTTTTTATAAATTACAATTTATATTTGTATTGATAATTTAAATCATCTATCTCGTAAGTTTCATAATAAAAATCATTTATATAAAAAATCAATTTCATAGGACAACTATAAAAATAGAAACAAATCGTATTTTATTTTATAAAATTGATGATTTAAATTTAATTATAATTACCGTTCATTTTATAAAACATAATACGATTTATTTTTGTATTTATAATTATCTGATGAAATTAATTTTTTGTATGGATGACCTTTATTGTCAAGCCTACCAGATAGATGGTTTGGATCATCAATATAGATTCAAATTAAAACCTACAAGAACAGTATAAAGAAGTATGGAGAGATGAGATATGGAAGGAAATTTATACAGATCATATTTCTCTTTTCCTAGATCCATTCATTTATCTCAAAACATTTATAATCATCAAATAATATGAAAATTTTAAAATGTAAGAATCACGTGACATAGTTAATGATTATAAAGGTTTTGGGGATAGGGAGAAAGTGATTGGTAGAAATAGATTCTCTGATTTTGTTCTAATATTCCACCAATTATTTATATATATAAAAAAAAAAAAAGAAAAAAAAAAAAAAATTAAGTATGATTTCTTCCAATAAAATTGAAATTTCAAATCTTCTGAAATTAAGGTCACAATGTACAACTAGTTCGTGCACATGATGTTTACGTTCGAATCTTATTGTTAGGTATGGAACTTCCACTTCAGTTATTCTCCTTACCAATTGTTAAAAATAAGTAAATAAAATAAATAAATTGTTATGCTATTCTCATAGCCCGTTAATAAAACTTTGTCATTTTTATTTGGTTAGTTATGATCCTTTAATCAGATGATCATGTAGTTACCACACTTATGAAAGGCAAAAGCTTGGAGGCATTGACAACATGGATTGCAAATTAAAATACATAGCAAACAAGATTTCAACAAAAATATTTGGTTCTAAAAAATAATTTTCTTCCCAAATTTTGGTTTCTAAAACCTTAATTTTTTGTAGTGGTGCTGAGTAGATTATTTCCTAATTGTAACAAGTTTCCTCTTTTTGTTATAAATAGCTTTTTAAAATTTTAAGGTTATTAGTTTCACCAAGGATCCTCTAGAGTGAAATTTTCCTAAAGTTTCCTAGAGTGCTACATTGTGTGGTTGAGATTTATTGGCAAGTCACATCAGAAAAATTGATGTGACTTGCCAGTAAATCTCAACCACATAATGTAACACTGAGGGTTGGTTTGGGGTGTACTAAAAAAGTACACTTTTTGTCTTTTTACGAAAAGATGTGCAGAAAAGTAAAGAGGTGATGTGATGGAAAAAAGATAAAAAGATAAAAAGATGGATTATATAGTAGATGACAAACAAGGCCTGAGTAAGGATCTTCTAGAGTGATTTTTCCCTAAAGTTTCCTAGAGTGTTACATTATTTACTGGCAAGTCACATCAATTTTTCTGATGTGACTTGCCAATAAATCTCAACCACATAATGTAACACTCTAGGAAACTTTAGGGAAAAATCACTCTAGAAGATCCTTACTCTATTAGTTTTTAGTGGTTAATGATATTTCTTAAAGACTTTTTGAGTATGTTCGTGGCAAGTCACATCAATTTTTCTGATGTGACTTGCCAATAAATCTCAACCACATAATGTAACACTCTAGGAAACTTTAGGGAAAAATTACTCTAGAAGATCCTTACTCTATTAGTTTTTAGTGGTTAATGATATTTCTTAAAGACTTTTTGAGTATGTTCGTGATTGTTCTTGGTTCTCAACTCTTAATTTTACATGCTTTTATGCATTAATAGAATTAAGATATATGTATATTGAAAAATCTTTCCACCCAAAAAATATATCCAAACAATAGTTCAGAAAAATAAAATTTATGGTGTAAATTTAAATTTAATTAGTGTAGTATAAATCCACCTAAAATCAAAATTGAGGCCACATATTTCATTTTTAGCGTTGCTCCATACATAACAACTCAACTCAACTCAAGATACAAGTCAAGTTGCTCAACTTTTAGTTCTACATGCTTTCTTGCATTAGTAGAGTTTGGATTCTAGAAAAATGAAGTATATAGTGTAGCTTCAAATTTTGTATAGTGTGAGTCACATTTAAATCTCAGCCACATATGTTTTTATAATACTTAACTCAACTCAAGAGATAATCAAGTTGTATTTGGATTATCAATTCAGGTGAGAAATTAAAAAGGAAAAAAGAGAAGGCGAGGAAAATGGAGCAAAAATTTAACTTCTATCCTATATTTTTTCTCTTACTTTCCAAATCTCTATCTAAATTTATTATCCAAACATAGCCTCAAAGGTATCACATCAGTTTAATCACCACCATGCATGCCACCTTTTGTGGGCATTACCCTACAAAGCAAACCCTAAGCTATATATCCAGTGGCATATGCATGCTTACTCTTTAATTAGCCCCCATTTGAAAGCTATTCTATAGCGATCCCGGTATTCCCTGTTATTGTTTAACTGTAATCCGGACTCGGTTCCGTAGACTCGTTGTTGTTTTATCTTCATTTCTATCCCTTACTCTTTGTGTTAGAGTTTTGGGTCGTGTTGGGCAGGCTGGGAATAAGTTGGTTGTGCTTTAAAACTTAGAAATTTTTGCCCAGGTTTTGGTCTCTCCGCTCGAGCAGCGGTTTGACGCTCGAGCGGGCTTTTGTTGTTATCTTTCCGCTCGAGCGGAAGTTTGGACGCTCGAGCGTGAATTTCCGTCTCTCAGCATTTTGGACGTCTGCAGAAGGTTCTGGGAGAGTGTATCCGGCGCTCGAGCGGATCTTTGGACGCTCGAGCGTGAACCTGTGTCTGACGCTCGAGCGGGGTGTTGTACGCTCGAGCGGACCTGTTATTATATCAGTCCGTGAAATCACTTTTTGTTCACTTTTTGATTTCCTTTCTCTCTCTTACTTTTTCAAAACCTCCATTGGAGAGCACCTTACTCTAAAACCTAACTTCTCTCTTAGGATTGATCTAGCTAGAGTGTTTTCCTCACCTTGGGCCTTTGTAAGAAGTGTGTTGATCGTCGAGGGCTTCGTTGTGATCCAAATGGTCCTATTTGCTGCAACTAGCTAAGCTAAAAGTCTTGAAAACCTCTCAAATTTGTTTTTGGCATTACTTACACTTACATTATTATGTAGTGGTTGTCCCCAAACTAATGATTAACACTGCACAGCTACACTTCCTAGATTTGTTATAAAACAAAATATTTCTGTAACATATACAGAATTTTGATTTTGTAATTAGATTCAACTCTTTTGTATGAAAATAATAATCGAATTCTATTCACTTAGGATTTTTTAGGAAAGTTAATTTTGTATTAATCTCACTTGCATTGCAATCTATCCTAGGTTTACATAGGGATACAATGAGAACAATGTAGAAAGAGGGAAAAATGACAAATCTTTGACTTTTATGTGATTTGATTTATTTTCAAAATTCTCTCATCATATTCCTTTTCTCCATATGCTTCCTTACTTTTCATGATTGATCTTCATTGCCCGTGAGTAGAGTTTTGGTGATGATAACAAGGGTAGATATCCCTCTCCCCTTTCCTTTATTAATGTTTGATATAAGGTTTTTCTTTGAATCTTATTCAATAAAAGTTACTTTACTTTAAAAGGAAGGAAAAAAAAAAAAAATTGTAGATGTATTACTCTCATAAAATTTGGTTTGATTTTAAGAAATTTAATCCTTTTGACTACCGAATGTTTTACAATTCTCCAACATATATATGGTTCTCACTTGTATCATAACATATATCTCACAAGTTATGTTAGAGATTTTAAATAATTTATCAAATTTTCTACCAAACCTTTCATATGGATGTGGGATTCACACACATGTGAGTTTGTGTGGGTCTCACACCCATGTG